TTTTTTTTTTTTTTTTTGCTTTGCTGTTTTACTATTTCCTACTAAAGGAAAGAGTTAAGAATTAATGTCTACAAAAAAAAAAAAAATATACTGTTAGCAACAGATTTTATACGCAAAATTAAGATAATTATTTTAAAATTTCTACAACGTCCAGTTTAGCTTTTTTTTTTCTTCGTCTGTTCTTATTCTGAAAGATTTTTTTGTAATGTTTTATAATTAGGCAGTGGAAAAACCAGAAGAACAAGGCAAAAAAAAACCTTTGTGTAACTTATAGACAGTAAATAAAGATTTATTTATTTATTTTTTTTTTTGCAGAGAAAGTAGCTTTCCCTAAAGTTTCATTTGAACTGTACAAAATTATTATGCTCTGAAAGTCTTGGATAATCTGGACGATCAGATATCCCCGTAAAATACTGGATAAAAATTCTCTTGTACCAAAAGAAAAAAATTAGTATTAGAACGACAACTAAGCTGTTATGGATCGTAAGCTGATTGGCGTGCATTACCATAGTTACTTGTTCTTAGCAAATTTTTGGTCTTAAAAAACCAGTTATGATGTTCTGGGAAGCAGGTAAAAGGGGTGGAGACAAAAAGAGTAAATAAACGAATAACTGTTAAAATGCTTCTTATAAGTTGCTGGAAACTTTTATAACTGTTTAACTGAAATCTCTTATATAACTGTAATGTTTAAGCTGTACAAGAGGGAGCGGGAAATTGAGAACTTTAGTAAATAAATAAACTAGGCTTAACTGTTGACAATAAAAAAAGTTCTTTAGCTTCTATAAATTTGTTTTACAAATTTTGTTCACATAAGCAAATTGAAAAAATAGGAATTTTTTTCAAAGAGATAAATACTACTCAGTATTGTTGCTGTTCTACTAATAAATAATGCACTACTGTAGCCAAAATTGAAATTCAGAGTCAAGATTCAGAATCAGGAAACACGCCGCTGTTTGCTTTCTTTTGACAAACAGTCAACATCGTCGATTAACAGAATTGATCCTTTAATCTGTGTCAAAAACACCATAACGTTTATAGATGCTGGAAGCGCTTGTAACTTACCGCAGCAAATTGGCACTGGCCCATATCGGATCCCTCGGTGGTACTACAATCCGGCCAGAATGCGTTGCGAGCTCTTTTACTGGTCCGGTTGCTGTGGCAATGGCAACAATTTTCAGACATTTCAGAACTGTCAACAAGTCTGTGAAGGTTTGTATCTTGTGCCATCATCAAATCCATCATCGACTTCCACAAAAATTCGCTGATCGGACACATGAACTAATCAGTTGATTTCTAGTTCTTGTTTGTATATGAGCTGCATGTGGTAAACTGGGCCATAATAGCTAGCATGGTTCAATAAAAGATTCTACTGAGAATGTTAAAAATTTTTTATACTAACAAAATGGACGCCGGTGGTGACGTTGAGCTTTTAGAGAGTTCAATTCAAAAGAATTTACTAACGTTTAAAAATTTTTTTGAAACGGTTAAAAATTGCTAAAAATAAGCATGCCTGGAAACTCAATAAACAAATTTTTGAAATTTTGACCTAAAAGATTAACAAGAATTTTTTTTTTGGTTATTTGAACCCGGAAGAACTTGTCGTGAAATCAGATGTGTGAAAAATAAACAACCTTATTTAGTGTCTGACCGACATAGAAGTTTACTTTAGCTAATATTAACTAGCACTTTCTTTTTTTTTCTCTGTTTAAAGCACTATTCTATCAAATGCTCTTTTAAGCACACTTTTTGAATCAAAAATTTTATTGACATGTTGGTATTTTAGTCTTGTTGGAGATTGATATCATAATAGTGCATTATTAATACGATGAAATAATTGAAATTTTATTGGCTATTACTAGTAAAGGTACTTGGGATAGCTGAAATCCTGTAAAGCTAAATTGTAATTATCAGCAGCTACTACAGGGGTTAGTGAACTATTTACGGTATCTGCATCTATTTAAATTGTCTAATACAGATAAAACCAGCCTGACCTCTTTTCCTGTCTCATTTTCTGCTGGTAAATCTTATTGCTGTCTACGACCATTTTCGCCTGGCTACGGCAACAAAAGTATTCCACGATGGTATTTTGATCCGGAAACTGGTAGCTGCAAATTGTTCTCCTATCGTGGTAAAGGTGGTTACGGTAACATCTTCGCATCCTCTTCCGAGTGTCTTTTCTATTGTAGAGGTCCATCAATTGAACTAAATAATAGAGGTTTATCAAACGTCTTTCTTTTATTTAGCTTCAACTTTTATCAACCTTCTAACTAGTTTAACCCGTAACTTTCTAACAAAACACTTACGAAGATAATAATGATTGTTCTACCCAACAAAATCAAATTGAAAATACAGATCGTCATGATGCTTTAAATCAGTACCCATCAGCATGTTTTATCAGCTCTTTCAAACCCTGTTATTCATAAACCAAAGTTGTTTTTTAAATGCGTGTTAAAACTGCATGTCTTTATGATTATGATTGCATGTTTTATTAAACAAGATGTAATTGCTATTGTTGCTTTGTAATTTACGCCCACAAATTATTTTTTGAAACCTTTATTATTGCATGTTGAACGGTTACGCACGGATAAACTGAAATTACTTGGAGTAACAAAGAGAGCGTTCCAGATGCATAACTCAGACAACTTTACAAGCAATTAAATTAGTCTTAACAATACATTTGAAAGTCCTGCAACTTGTAGTGCTCACAGCTTAGATGCAGCACAGACTCACATGAATGGTGTGTTTTTGCAGTGGATCCCTGTACCCAAGAACGTGATCAAGGAGTAGGTGCACTGCAACTTCCACGCTATTTTTTCAACCATCAAACCAAAATGTGTGAACAATTTATTTATTTCGGTTCTGCAGGAAACCGGAATAACTTTATGACACTTGAAGATTGCCAACGACAATGCCCAGGTTGTTACCAAACCTTCATTCTGCTTCGTTTTTTTATCCTGAGTACTTTTTTGTAGCATACATATTAGATTGAATGCTTCCTGAGACCATTTACGTCACTAGTTCATTTATTACAAATTAGTTATTCCCTGCACCGTAGATATCCATTCCTCAATGCTTATTATTTAGTTACAGTCATTTTTCCGCTTAGACGATCTAGACAGCCGCAGAAAGCACTGTTTTTACAGAATTGCAAATTAAACTATGGTGACTAGAAAATCTTGTAAAACTTTTTAACGATGTAAATGTGTTGCAGAATCACCGAATCCGTGCGCTTATGGAAGTTCCAATTCACAAGTACGATGTAATCCAAGTTCAGCTATGGTATCTACTTGCGGAAGCCATCAGTATTGTCACGTTGGACCAACTGTAGTGACCACTGTTTGCTGTAACAAGCCACGTAAGTAACGCAGTTTATTACTGTTCTCTTAAGTTAAATAACGAAGCAGAAGTTGAAATTAAACGGTATTTCAGATAACCAGAAAGTTTTCTTTTGTTTCTTATTGTATTTGTCAAAATTTTATCTTTTTTTTTTATTAAATATACATGTTTTACTGAACCTTATTTTAAAACATAAAAGAAACATTATTTTAAATTACAGTTGTGAAATTTGAGCTTTTTACTTAACGGGGGAAACAAATAAGCAACTAAAGTGACATTTATAAATAACGAATATAAGTCACGCTCTTTTTTTTTTTTTTTTTTGCATTGACAATCGTAATGTCAGACAAGATTGAAAGCCTATTAATTACGGCTTTCTTAAAGCAAATAATAGGCTTAAAGCTGTCAAAATAATTCGACATTTGATAAAAAAATATATAAAGATAAAAAATAACATTTAGCATTAATTTATACAAAATAATTTAAAAAAAAAAAAGAAAGGAAAAAACTAGTTAACACAAAATTGTCTTGTTTTTTTAGGGCTGGCAATTATGTAGATTAAGATAAAAATAACTGCAGTAATTATATATTGAATTTCTACATTCACATTTTAGTGATCTTAAAAGTTTTCAAATTGTAATCTTTTTACTTGTTTTGAA